CAAAAAAATGGCATCATTTGTTTTTACCATTTGTTTCTAATTTAGGTTATGTCATAATTTTGTAATAATTTATTTAATAAAGTATTTTTAAAAATTCAGTTTTAACAAATGTAAATACTGGCTACCATTATAAATTACCCTTAAATAACAAAATTTTCTAAACTACATACAAAAGTAATTTAAAAAGTTAATGCTTAGCAAAGTCAAGTTATGATAAAAATAAATAACATTAGGCATGTTTAATCAATGTCAATAAATTGTTTTTCTAGAAGCAAACTTAGCTCATAGTTTGTAAATCTTGATTATGTTTTGAAATATTATTTTCTAAGCCAAGTTGGAACATTATAATTGACTTTCAATTAAATAGTGCAATTTTTTAATCAATCTTAATGAAATATATTTTATTAGGTTTAAATAATTCTGTCTTTTGTGTTGTTGATTGCCTCTTTTTGAGGTAAAAATAAATATTTTGTTACTCACCAGTATACATAGTTTAGTACATAGTGATAGTGGGTTGTAACCACAACTAATGTAGTGACTTTCATAGTTTTGGGGAAGTAAATTCAAATTTAATAAAAAAAAAAAAAAATTAACAAAAAATAGTTGAGCAAACATATATTGAAAGCTTTCTTAGCATTTATAATTTGCAATTTGAGAATTTTTAGGCATTTAGTTTAGGACACCACAGATGGTTGCCAAAATTTTTCATTATGATTAATAATTCTGTTCTAAATATATACCACGCAACCTTTGAATCATTTCTTAGATATTAATCAATATACTTCTGAAATAGTTGATAGATGGTTACATTTCAAGGTTGTTTACAAATTGTAATACTACTAATATTAAGTAAACACCTAAGGAAAATGATTAAAATAATTATGTTTGTAAAAAAAAGTAATATTTATGATAATAAACATAAAAATCACAACATGAAAAAATAATAATAAACATTACTACTAATAATAATGATTATATTAATGATAATAAAAATAATAATGATAAAAACAATAAGTTGGATTCATAAACAAAATAGAAAATAAAGATATTATTTTTATAAATACAATAGAAAAATTCTAACACATTATTTTTTGAGACTTAATAAGCATGCAAGCCAAGGCTTTTCCACAATAGATTTTTTAAGATATATTTGACTCTATAATTTCTATACAAAACAATCAAATTATGTTTATAACATACAATATATATTATAAACATAATTTGATTGTATATGATATATACTATAACTTGTTATATATGATATATACCATGCAGATACCATGACATGGCCAACTTATAAGTTAGCAACTTATTTTTTTGTTTAATTTTTTTTTTTGTAAATTGATTTTTTTACAACAAATAATAAATGTAATAATAATATAAGAAATAATAACTTATAAATAAAGGGGGAATCCACAAAGTTCTCTAAGCAGTATCTTTCTAACAAAAAAAAATAACGAGGGAATGAATAAGACTTATTCATTCCCTCTTAGACTTATTCATTCCCTCTGAATTGCTGAAATTATTATTTCTTATATTAATATTACTATTATTTGTTGAAAAAAAATAAATCAATTGAAATAATAAATACATTTAGTATAACAATGTATATAACACTTTTAGTTTAATAATAAGTTACTGATTAATAAAAATGGTGACACTTATAAATAAATTTAACCAGTGATTAATGTTTTTTAAATTTTATAATGTTTTGTTAAGCTTTAACTTTATATAAGTATTTGCACTGTTAGTTATTTCCTTGAATATAGTGCTTTTCATAATTTATTTGGTTTGATTTAACTCGGCTGTTTGTTTATTATTTGCGCCTTGACTATCCAAAAATTCACGCAACGTTAACTGACGTAATTAATAAAGTTCGCATAATTAAAAAACACATCCTGAGGCATACTATCTTCTGCTTACCCTTTCAAAAGTTTTTAAATATGGCCAAAAACTTTAATAACGCTAAAACCTGTAACTCACTGTACGCATTTAAAAATCTAAATAATGTGTAGTATTCCGACGTTCGCTCGACGCTGGTCCGAAGTCAGCGCTTATATTATAAAACTGTCTAACGCTTTTGACGTTGGCCCGACATTGGACTAACTTATGTGTGCTAGCTGGGTTATGTTAGCAGTACTATTCAATATTGGTCATGCCAAAGAATTTATAGTTACTTTTTCAAGTTACTTTATGCTTGTTTGTGTACTGTCTGAACCTCTGGCGCGGTGTCTACTCACCCGTAAGTTACTTTATGTATGTTTGTGTTCTGTTTAAATGTTTGATGCAGTATGAGCTCATTAACTAACTATCTACTCCAACTATAAAAACTAGGCTCACCTTTAAACATTAGGTATGACATTTTGGATTTTCAAAACATCATGTCTAATATTTTCAGATATTGCTTGCAGGAAGCAACGTGTAAGCTTTACCAAAATTTTAATCGTTTATGTTAATGAAAATCTGTTATGGAATGAGCACTTAGAAAATTTGGGCAATAAAATATCTAAAAGTTTTGGAATATTATGTTAAACAAAAAATATTCTTAACAAGTACAACTTTAACTCAATTATATCATTCATTAATCCATTATGCAAATGTTGCGTGGTGTAGTACAAATAAAAGTAAACTTGAACCTCTATATCGTCAACAAAAACATGTACGTCTTATTAATTTTAAGGATCATTTTACTAATGCCAAGCTTCTCCTAATTGTCATGAACGTTTTTAGTATATACGAGCTTAATATTTTTAATGTTCTTTGTTTTATGCGTAAATTTAAAAACAGTTTATCTCCTGAAACCTTTTAAAATTTATTTACTTTAAAAGTAAATATATTTTAAGAAATGATAAAGTTATTCGACAAGCTGCTTACCATACAAATTTTTGAAGTTTTGTATTTCGTTTTGTGGAGCTTTTCTGTGGAATAAAATAATTTCAAAAAATTTTGATATTTTGAGAAAATATAGTTATCCCTGCTTTAAAGTTTAAACAAAATTAAAATATATTACTATATACTAAATTATACTTTCAAATTAATGAAATATTTATGTTTTTTTTTTAATTTTGATTTTAAGTTTTCTTATTTTGTTTTCTTCAGTAAAAAACTTTATTGTTAAAGTTATGTTTTATTGTAAACATATACTGTGTTCTTATGCACTAATCCCGTGAATTTTTTCTTGAAATGTATGTACGTATGTATGTATGTATTTATGTATTTGTGTGCGTATGTGTGTGTGTATGTATGTATTTATATATATACGTGTGTATGCATGTAATATGTATGTATGTGTTTTATGTGATCAACAACAGATACATACAGCAGAAAATGGAAACAACAGATGCCATTTTCTAGCAAGAAAATGTTCCAATTTCTGTTGTTCCAATTTTTATAAACTCCGTTAAACATTCTAACCCCTCCAACAATCGTTGGATCAATCTTTTATCTGTTATTAACAAGGTCTTTAAGTTTTCAATCAACAAATTTCTCACATCCCATTTTGAGTTAAATAACTTACTGTCAGACAATCAATACGTTTTTTGATCTTCTTGCTCTACGGCTGACTTGCTGTGACTGCAAAATTTTAAACTGCTGTGGCTAAAAGATTTTATCGTTCGTTAGATGGAGGCAGAGAGGCTAGAGCTATTGCTCTTGACGTATCTAAGGCTTTCGACAAAGTTTAGCATGCAGGTTTTTTCTATAAGCTTGTTTCATATGGTGTATCTGGGAAAGTTTTTAAGATTATTAAATTGTTTCTTTCTAACTGGTTTATTAAAGTCATCCTTGAAGGCTAACACTCTTCTTTACTTCCAGTAAACTCTGGGGTACTTTAAAATTCTATGCTTGGTCCTGTTTTGTTTCTTATCTACATTAATGATCTTCCCAACAACCTTACATCTAAAGTAGTTCTTTTTGGTAATGGTACAATTTTATAATCCTGTTTTGAGAAAAAATTCTTTTCTTTTTGATTGCTTAGAATAGGCAGCCGATCTTGAATCTGGTCTCACTTCTGTAGTAGATTAGAGCTTGCAGTGGCTTGTAAATTTGAACTCCAAAAAAACTTTTCCGCTAACAACTATCACAATACTGTCGACATTCCTAAATTAATGAATGACAAACTTCTCACTGAGTCCTCTTTTTTACGTCTTCTTGGATTAGCGTTAACTACTGACCTTTTATGGAAATCATATATGCAATCGATTGTTAAATTAGCATACGCTAATGTTACTTCTCTTTATCGTACTCGCCATTTTTTTACTCCTAATTCCATTCTCTACTTCTACAAAGCTCTTATTCGTCTCTGTGCAGTAAACTGTTGTGATATTTGGGAGAGTTAATAAGATAACTTCTAGACAAGGTACAAAAACGCATTGTAAACGTAGTTGGACCCGCTCTATCTGCTAAGCTTGAGCCATTTTTCCATTGTCGTAAAGTTGCATCTCTTCCTCTTTTCTACAATTACTAACATGGAAGTTGCTCAAAGGAGCTATTATTTCTAGTTCCATCAACGAAAACTCATTATCGCTTGACTCGTCACTGCCACTTGGCTCTAAAAACCTTTGTTATTTGAAAAGTGTTTGTTCTAAAAACCTTTGTTCATCTATTTTTTTCCCTCGCAATTCAACCCTTCAGAACTCTATCTCTTACTCGTATTTTCCTGACTCATACAACTTTTTCAGGTTTTCTGTCAACCGTTTCCTTGTTCTTTAACTCTTTTTTTTTCTTCTAGTAACTCCCAACTTAATAGTGGTTGCTTGAATCTTTGTTGGGAGTTAATCAGATCAAAACTAAATAAAAAATTATAGATAAAGAAAAAAAAAGTCAATAGTTACACACATATTCACTCATATATATATATATATATATATATATATATATATATATATATATATATATATATATATATATATATATATATATATATATATATATATATATATATATATATATATATATATATATATATATATATATATATATATATATATATGTATATATAT